CCTTCTTCCCAATACACCATTATGTTTTGTTGCCATGTGACAGATGGCAGCAGAGGGGCAGTCTGAGAAAATGGCATCTGACATGGAAGTGTATATGATGCAAAGATGTGTCATTGAATTCCTCTATGTGGAAAAACTCGCACCCACTGACATACATCTAACTCAACATTTTTAGAGACCAAACAGTGGAATGTTTCAGCAATGTGAAAAATAAGCTGTGTATCACGCAGCCATGCAGATTTTTACATGCAAGATATGAAGGCTCTTGCTCCTCGCAGATAAAAATGCACAGCTAATGATGTTGATTCTGTTGAAAAAGATCATTGTGTAGCTGAGAATTTGCTCTATCAGATAGTTTTATTGTGCTCTTTATATCTACTGTAGATCACATGGAAATAAAGAAGAGATACTACTTTCAGAGTGACCTACATATATTAATATCCTCTCCTAATTATTATACTTTAGCTGTGTTTTACATGTTATTTGTTAATATTTTCAGAAAAGTTGCTTCCTGATATAAACTGATCAGCTGTACTAATAAGATTTATTTGTTTATTTCACAGAATCCATGCACTACATCAGGGTGCTTAACATCACTTTCACTAGCCTGATGTTGGCAACTTCACACCTAGGAAACTGCGGTCATGGTCTCTCCAAGCCATCTATGCAGGACATTATAAGGCATTTCATGCTTTGTGACTATAGATTCATCCTAAGAGTCTTCCAGTGTCTTGCCTGAACTCTGAAAAAATATATCTAACATCAATTTACCACATAAAATCAGTAATTTGACTTAGGAATTAAGCAGCTTCAAGCCAACATTACTATCAGTCTCAACAGCAGAACAAAACAGTTTTTCCCCTTTTTGTACATGCTCTAAAGTTTTACATTTCTGAGGCCATAATGGGTTTGCCGGAATGACAAATGATGAATTGAAACGCCTGATTTTCAGTTTTCCATTTTTTAAAAGTAATACTTTATTGCATGTTTTCTACCTTTAGATATTCACACGTCTTCCACACCTTCACTGACTTGTGAGTTTAATTTATTGATACTAACAAATCATGCAGCCTCTGTTGATATTTCATTCAGATTATGAAGAAATTCAGGAACTTGTGTTGATTCTGCCATAGAATGGCTCCGCATTAGTCACTGTCTATTTTGACTTACTGCAATTTACTTAAACTTTTCTCACATTTCTTAGCTTATTTTTAATTTGTGACAGAATTATTCTTTATACGTTACCCATGGCTTTCAAATTTTAATGGGATTTATATCCCAAAATAAGACAACTATATTATATAATATTTTAACTAAGCATAATTAGTTAAATTATCATACCTATATTATAAGAAATATTTCTTTTCTTATTTCCTCATTTCATTTTTTAATCCTTTTGGCTCCCCTGCACTTATTAAATGTTAAGAATTTAGCTACTTTGAAATGAAAAATCTTTAATCTTCTCTGGCCTTACTTTCAGTTTCTTTCTTGGCCTCTTTTCTTTATTCATGCCCCAACTAGATTTCAGCTGTAGAATATTGTTTCCTGTCCATCTTTATTTGCCTAAACCCAATCTAATATCCTCTGCTTCAGTGTGCCGGTGTACTAAGGCATTAGGAAAAATGCAGAAGAAAGTATCATAATTTCTTAGTTATAACTTCTGTATCTGTGCAAAGTAAAAAAATGTATATATATAACAAGACTTCTTTCTCTCAAAGGCATCAAGCACACACTGACCAGAAACTAGAAGTTCAGAAGCAAATTTACTTCAGGGAGGGCTACGCCATATTTTGTTACCTGAGAACCTAGCAATATTAAAAAAATTACAGTTAAGACATGGCATCAACCAAGAAGAAACTGAACTGGCTTGATATTTCTCACTCTCTGTTGACAAAGAGTATGACAAATTAATAAAAAGAGCATAATTTATAAAACTTGCATAAAATAAAAACAAGAATGTGCTGTTTTTGAATTAAGTATATGTACCATGTTCTCTAGGCCTTTATAATGATGTTGTATGAAGGGGCATAGTTTACTGGGGAAATACTGCTGGAAGGTGGATGGTTGGACTGGATGACCTTGGAGGTCTTTTCCAACCTTGGTATTTAATGATTCTGTGATTCTACAATAATTTTCACCACAAATTCTATAATAATTTTAACACAAAGGTGACATATGACTTTCATCTGCATACTCCTCCGAGGGATATCAACCAATTCTAGCCACAATCATAGTACTGTTGTTGGGATATCAGGGAAGGTTTTCAGCAAGAGAGAGAACAGTAGCTGCAAACCATTTCTACCCTTACTCATTTATTTATTTATTTATTTATTTTAAATTCCAGTGTTGTGCTTTTCTTTTTACACTAGTTCAATGACTCAAATAGTCATTACTGTGATTTGCCTTTCAAACTGTCAATTTACTAGCTTGTAGTTCAGTTGCTCCTCATAACCATATAGGTCATTCAGTGATACTGTTGAATATTTTCTTCTGGAAACTCCGAATAGTACTCACAATTGTGATGAATGTCACTTCTCTTAATCTCTAAACTGGTGAGCTAAATTCAGTTTTAACCCTCGCTATTCCAGAACTATTTCATAGAACAAACAACTAATGGTAGAAACTTTATTATCTACCACAGAGTAAGCCATTCCCACTTGCAGAAAAAATGTCTCTATCATTATCTTGCATCAGGCGAGGTTCAGGTTGGATATTAGGAAAAACTGTTTCTCTGAAAGAGTGGTCAGTCACTGGAACAGGCTGCCTGGGGAGGTGGTGGAGTCACTGCCCCTCCCTGGAGGTGTTCAAGTAATGTGTAAATGTTGTACTACGGAACATAGTATAGCTATACCACCATATTGGTGGTAGGAGGACAGTTGGACTAGATGATCTCAGAGGTCTTTTCCAACCTTAATGATTCTATGATTCTATGAATATGCCATAGTACAGTGCCTGAGTTAAGTATTTATGCAACAGTATGTGAATATAGTTTCTATAAACAAGTGAATGACTGAGGATATTGCATGTATAAAACCTGAGCTACTGCAAAGAACTGATTTGGGGAGAGATAAAATAAAATAAAATCATAATCAGCACTTTAGAAAACAATGTGTCACATTGATTGCTATAGCATATTAATATCTGCTCCATTTGATATCTCAGATTTTAAATATCTAAACAGTTAAACATTAACAGCACTAGTTACATCTGACCTCACCTTGGCAAACATAAGCTATAAAGAAGCTTTTTCAAAAACCGTTTACAGTTTTACTTCATTTCAAGAGGCTGTTGTTATCTATTATGTCATTTTCTGTATTCTTCTGGTCTGTTTCAAGCATATTTTGAAAAGTTACTTGTGACCAAGCTGAGTAATGAAGGCTATTAAGACATTCTCCTCCGTGTTTCAAATGCAGCATTGGAAGAGGCACATAACATAGTTTCAGAAATGCTTTTTTTATGGAACTTTTTTTTTTTTTTTCTTTAAATTAGAAGCTCACAATAAACTGAAAACATGTTGTTCCTGAGAGACAAACATTTCACCACTGCTCTTAAGCTCGTAATTCACATCAACAAAGACAGACTGTATATTATGTTTGTTTGAAATACTTTATAGAGGAGGTGGGAATATAAAAACATTCTAAGTGTCCTGATGTGTCTCTTGCACACTGAATAATCTAACTGATCTCTGATAAATAATCCCAACATTTTTATCTCTTATATTTTTGTTCAGAGTAGACCATGTAAACAGTGTGCATCTTTTGTTCAGTGTTTGAGGTACTCAGAATACAGACATAACATTGCATGTTCAGAACTGATTGGAAACTATGAATTTAAAGATTATAGATGTCCATTCTTAGATCCTCTAGTGGGATCTGGTTTCCAGAGGACAAATGACCTTAATCTGATCTAAAACTGAGCACACCAGAACGAATGTACACAGGACATGAAAAGGGAAGGGTGAAACTTCAGTGTCAGTATATGATTCATGTCCCTGATTTCACATTCCATCGCTAAGTCTTACCATGCTCATGTCACGCTCACGGAACGGTAGTCTCACTTATAAAAGGATTTTCTTTATTTTTCATAATTTAACTGAACCAACACAAAACTGAATACTGTAAAGCAACAAAAATGATGTAACATCTTTAATTGTACTGTGTTAACTAAATAAGGCTACTACACTCCCTTTTAAATAAATCAAAACAGAGAGTTGGTAGAGTGAGGGATCTGGCTCTTGAGGTCTACATATACAGTAAATGTATTTACCATCACTTATTGCATGACATTTTAAACCTGACATTTGTCATTTATAGTGCAGTCAGTCCATAACACTTTTCAAGTGGCTGGGCTTTAATTGCTACCTTGACACTGGTCAAAATCCTAAGATTAAATAATAATTTTGTATATATTTATTTTATTTGAAGACAAAATCATCTATCTTTCATCTTTCCTTCAACTTCTGCATTAAATAAGCAGAGACCTATACTGGAACAGGCCTTCAAAAAAGTTCTTTAATCGACTTTTCATTTTTGAACCTTTCATCTATGGTCACTTGAACAATCTCTATATATTTTTCTTTAGTAGCATAGAACTAGCATAACATTAAAAGTTAATTGGAGTATTAGGTAGTATACTTGAAACCATAATACATTTGCCAGGAAGAAATTAAGCTCCCTTCTTGATTGTATCATACTATTATGAACCAAACTTACACATAAAAAGGGAATAAGTTTTTTTGTTGTTGTTTCTCTGTTTTTTTACATTTTCCCCCTCTTCTTTGCTGTCTTGGTTAAACTTCTGCTAACCAATAATACTAAAACAGTGGCCTTTCTAATAATGAGGTAAACACTGAAAGGAATAGGCTGCAAACAGACCCTTAGACTGTATTACATAAAAGTAGGGGGAAAGAAAGAGAAGAACAGAGAGGGAGAGCGAGAAAGAAAAAAAACCCAAAACTTGCTATGAAGAGCAATGAGTAAAATATTTTACACTCTATTTTTATCAGTACATAAAGACAAAAAAATAAAAAAAAATTAAAAAAAAAGCCTTCTAACAGTGCAATGGTTGAATGCATTTATGTAATATAAACAACATTATTCTTTGCTTTTTCTACACAGTCCTCTCTCGTCATGCTTTACATCCAGAATGTCCCAATGGAAGAAAGCAAACGACACCAGTCACTTCAGAGACAACTGAAGTAATAAAACACAACTTAACTCTGAACCACTTGTCATGACTGTCAGAGTCATCACGTTAATTGTTAAATAGGATTTTCTACAAATATACAACATATAAAAACTGTTAAATATATAACTTTAGGCTTTTCAAAATACATTTAATGATCTCTTTCAAACAAGTGTTACTTTTGTTTTCTCTTTAATTTGCTTTCTGGTGCTAAATGGTGTATCAGATGAGACATAGGCCACAGATGACCAAACATGCTCTTTGCAAATACTGTATTATCCAACTTTAACTATCAAAAATGGAACTGTAGAAGAGGCATGTTTAACTGGTTAAAACTGAAAATGATTTTAGTACGAGAAAGTCAATCTAAGTACAGAGGAATAAAGGTGCCTTGTAGACAGTTTATGTTCTTTTTGTCCCAAGTTTTTCAAACATAGGTCATTTCCTTTCAGTGCTCCATTACGTTCTCTCAAATGTGTCATTTCAAGAGCTGGTCTCTGGGTTAGTTTTTACTGCAGCTTTCCATAAAGACTTCTGCTGGACAGCATCTCAGCTTTGTGAAAGCTGGAATCATGTCTTTGTGGAGACCCCCTACGATTTAACAACATAACTCTGTTAACAGTAAGATTGTGTCCACTTTAAAATAGATTTGGCTCTTTGGTCTATTGTATATATTGAAAGTATAAGAAAATAAAAGCAATTCAGACAGTTTAGGGCACAAGAAGAGTTTCTCTTTTGAACCTCAGTGTCCTCCCATAGGCAAAACAGTCTTCTCTAAGGCTGATTGGGATGATACTCTTCATTGTAGCAGACTCTTCAGATTAAAACATGTAGGTAACAGCAAGTCCAGCAGTGGTGTATAACGCAGATGAAACATTAACCATGAACTTTTTTGTATTGCTAATGCCCAAGCATATCTCTTTTTTCTATATTCCTTAGTCCAGCGATCCTTAGTATGGTAGAACAAACTTTAGCTCATAATGTAGAGAAATTATGCTGTCTTTCATGAGATACAGATAAACAGACAGTTGAGTTGATGACATATAATGGATGATGGTCCACAGCAGTGAAACTTGACTAAGTTAAGTAGCTCACACAGAGCCTAAACCACTCCTACGAGGATTCTGTGTTGCTGTATTTGTCAGGAGACCTGTAAATCAATAAGAACAAATGAGTCAATGTCTTCATTTAAAATTTTGATTATCTTTGCTGTCCATTATTTTAAAATGTTCTGTTCTAAGTTTCTTCAAGGAGATAGTTAATTAATTAGAAGATATTTATTTTTTACAGCAAACATTTTCCCTGAGAAACAGCATATAATAAACCTTTGTTTACATTTATTATTAAAAAATCACGACTATTATAGTTATATCTAATAAATTCGTGAATGTAAATAATAATTTACAACAATTTCAATGCCTTCTACTTTCTAGCAAGCTCCATGCACTTTCTTTTTCATAAAAATAATACCCAGAATGTTCTTTTACCTGCATTGAATTATATGTAGCAATATCTAATACACATGGATATAAAGATGACCATTAATTTACACATGTAGAATACGATGGAAAATGAGTATGACAGTCATTTATTAACAGTGCAAGTATATTTATACTTGAGGCTTTTCTGCCTTCGAGTTTTCACTGAGCACTAGAGTGCGCCTGTTGTTCTGTATGCTAATTTAATCAATACTGCCCTCTAGTGATGCTCTTAAAAGTGCAAATCAAATTTAAATAATGCTTATTAAAAGCTGATATAATCTGAAAATTGCTTTAGTTACACAGCAGAAGAAAAAAAAAAAGAAAAAGGAAGAAATAAAGAAGAAAGAGAAAATTGGCAGAGGACTGCTAATTTAAAAGAAAAAAAGGAAAGGAAGCTGTTGAAAAAGAAGTGTTGGTTTGAAAGACAAACAACCAAAGCTTCCACTATAGAGGAAATAAAAGTACTGAACCACAGCACAAACACAGATGAGAAGGTAATGATTGATTTGTACAACAAGATGCCAGCTAATAATGCTCACCCAAAATATCAGTTTGGAAATGATTTCAAAATCACACAGACACTGTATGACACAAAACATTTTGAGGTGTATTAAGCAAGAATGGTTGTTACAAAATGCAGTTTGAATGTTCAAACACTGTCTTCTGCTACAGCATCATTCTGTCTCCAAAAAAGTTGAATTGTCTTTACTGATGGAAATTCCATGCATAACGCCAGAAAATACTGAACAGTGAATGTGAACAAGCAAAACAAATACGAAAATCCAATTCACTTAGTTCAAGCTGTTACATCAAATTTAGAATTTTTAACCTTATTCTCAGATAAAAGAAATACCTGCCTCCAATTTAGTGACAGCTTGAAACATAGGGATCTCTCTCTATATGTATCTACAAAGATAGATAGATAGGTAAACAAATAAATAAATGGATATTTTCCTCATAAGGCATTAAGTTTATGTCATAGATTTCTGCTTTTGTCCTCTCACCTTTTCCAGGAAAAAACACCCCAGAAATCTTGCACACAGCCTTTCGTTTTCGGACTAGTGATCAGATCTCCAAACCACATGGCCTCAGACAGGCTGAAGGCAAAAAACCTGGATGATTATTGTGGTATATTCCCCTTTTTAAATATACAATCAGCAAGATAAATAATTTTAAAGTTTTCTTTCTATTAGTTCTGTTTCCCCATTACGCTATTCCGTGGGGTTTTCACAGTATCCCAAATTTTTCTTCCTATTAGAAAAGAACACATCTTTTAAGGTAGTTTTACTTTTTAAGCAGCAAGACAGAAAGCAAAAGATTTATGCTCTATTATGTCTGAAAGTAAACTACTACTGTGTGAAGAACTAGGCTGACTTAGCTTCATCATTTCTGAATTAGGTTGAAATGGCCCAAAAGCTAAAAGCAACAGCGTGAACTGCTGATGGACTGTGTTCAGTGTTTTCATAGTGTGCTTCTTTACCATACTGGTCCCAGGATAGAGAGAATTCATTCAGACACATTTATTTGCAGTTACCTGCTGCTCTGTCAGCTCATGGATGACAAAGCAGCTTGCTACCACTCCTGCTATCCCTATCCCCACTTTGCACTTCCTTGCTGTGAGAATATGGTATCAACACCTTAAAAGAAAGAGAGAAGAAGAGAAAGAATTATGTATTTAAGAAACACTGAGGCAGGGCAGGAAGCAGAACTGAAATAAAATGACTACAAGAAGAGGAACAGATTAGAGAACAGGAAGTGAATTTACAATTTTGGACAATGGGAAAAGATGGAAGAAAAGAGGGAAAGAGGTGTACATTAGCAAGAGAATTTTAAACATAATTTATTAATGAAAGCATGATAAAGAAGAAAGACAGCTAATAGGAACAACAGATAAAAGGAAGAGAGTAGGTAGAAGAGAGCATTAAGAGACCACAGAAGAGAGATGGAATGTACAACTACCCTCCCATCTCCTGTTTTTTTCCTTTTGATTTCTCATGACAGCTGTGTTAACCACTCCCCAGAAAAACAGACAGGTCAGGCAAGATGGAAAAGGGATCCCAAAATGACTTTTAAAAAGACTTATTTGCTATTTATACTAACAATTCAAACCATGAGAAATATCGCATTTCTGAAATGCAAATCTAAAGAAAAACTGTGCTCTCAATGACTATTTGTTAATAATTTCTATAATATTAATTGGACTAATACAGATTGCAGTGCAAATTATAAATTAAATAACAATATACACAGAAACGTTGAAAGCTTTGGCACAATGTGTCAGCATAGTTTCTTCCTTTTTTTTTTTTTTTTTTTTTTCCTTCTACTTAGGGAACTTGCAGCAACAGCAAATTAAAGAGAGCAACAGGATCAATTACCAAGTGCAAAGTTTTATTTTTGTCCACCTCCATTAACTGAATCATGTTAGTTTCAGGCATCTTTGTACAATTCTCCTTGTTGCTGACTTCAGTGAAATTAGAAATTCTCCCCAGAGCTTCAGACAGTAGGTTCTGCCTCTTTCTAAAGGAGCCAGAGGTTCTGATGCCACCCACTGCACTGCAGTGGGGGCGAACCTTCCTTTGTGTCACTTTTTCTGCACAATGATCTTTGTTTCATTTTGTTTTTCCTGAGTTGTTGCTGAGATCACCCTTGCTTCATGGTGCACTGGACAAACTGGCACTCAACATGCATGAACCAAGAACTAGATTGCTAACATAACTCATCTCACATTCAACCCTCAAAACCCACCATGTGTTTTCTCAATAGAAGTCTTTTTTCTCTCAGCTGGTAACTGCAAGGGAAAATAGGAAAGTTGCCCCTCCCATGTATTTCATCCTCTTCCTTCCACATACTCAAGAATTCAAAAGCAAGGGTTAAAAACTCCTTGCAGAAAAGCTACTGAAGTGCTTTCTCTCTACGCAGAGGCTGAAGAGGTGTGCAGTGGCTTCTGGGCACTGATCCATCAAGGCACTGCAGTAAATGGCAAATGATGAGTGACTAAATGCATTTGTCAAGGGTATTCCACCATCACGGTAAGATTCCCAATGTGAACACTAAACTCTGAAATACCACACAGCTCCAACAATGTTATGCCATTTTTGGCATTATGTCTTTGTATAGTGCAGAATCTGGAATCAAATTTTGAACTAAAGCATTTGAATTTCTGATCACAAACCAGAAAACTTAGCCACGCTTACTGTAGCTGTCAAATATTTTCAGTCAGGACTGAGTTTCAAGAATGTGTGGCCTGACCTTCTGCTTTAAATGGGATTCACATAAATACCAACAATTCATTGTCAAGCCTGGTTAAACTCTAGTAATTTCTTCTGATTTACACTCTGTATTTTTAGAGTAAAAATGAAAGACAGAGTAAAACAAAGTTATTATTTTTGGTACAGTAGCCAAGTGCTATTACATGACTGTCTGTTGAAGTTACCTTTGCAAACTAGGATGACAATTTGAACAATCTAACATGTTTCCAGCACTGATTTCTGGAAATTCTGGATCCCTACAATATAATTGATCATTTTAGACGTTTTAGTGCTGTCTAACAGCTGAACTACTTAGTTGAACTGTGTATTTTGCTCTTTTGACTACACTGGAATGTCTCTGTGAGTCTTAAGATGCCATAGAGCCCCCCCTAGTATAAATGGTTGGGTGTTTTTTGTTTTGGTTTGGTATGGTTTTATTTTTGCTTGTATTTTTATATGAATTAAAAAAAAATGCAAAGTCATTCACAAAGATGGATGTAGGCTTGCTCAGCCTGTGTCACTAATCTACTCATAGTGGAAAACAGTTCCAAAGCTTTTACCAACTGACTATAAGCCAATAAACAGCATGTCTGACCCTTCCCTTCTGCTTCTGCAGCTATCTGTTCTAGGTCCCTGAATAACTAACCATGTATAATGCAGAAAAATATATAAAAAAGCATCAAAATGCCCAAGGAAATCTTATCCTGCTTTGGAGGATACCTCATGCTTCACAGGTATAAAAATGTAAATTTCTGGCAATGATCCTAGCAGTAGCAATGACCTGTTGAATTTGCTGAGAATTCCCATAGCCCCTCTAAAAAGATTATTCAATTTTTCTCCTATCCCCCTACTTTCTCCATGCTGCTCATACATTCAAACTGAACGATTTAGCCTTCAGGAAAAGACAAGCTAATCTAACTTTAAAGAGACTGTGATTATTAGAAATAAGGGAAAGATGCATGGAGCTACTTTACTTAGTAATACTTCCTTCTTTGACATTGAACTAGCCATGGAAAGGACATCTTCAAGAGGTAAAACTATAATGTCCACAGAACTAATAATAATAAGATTCATCAAATCTAGTGGCTGCTTGTGGATATATGCTTATAAAAAGTAGAGTAGCGTACCACAATGTATTCATGCTGTGTAATTGCACTCCAACAAAGTAGCATTCATGAATTACAGTGAACAAAATGCAACTATTAGGCATCTTTTAGAAGAATATGCATTTTCTTTGTGACCCATTATTTGTTGATGGCTTGGTTGTTGTTGTTGTTGTTTTTCCTTTCTGCTATTCAAATCAGATGTAGGAAGAAAGGAGTATTTATTATTTGCAAAGATTATTTTTTTCCAGTAAAAATTATTTAGTATCAATTATTTAGTATCAATATTTTGTCCAGGTCTAATAGCAAAAAGTGTCA